TCAGTTACAGCTCTGTGCCTTGATTTTCTCTTTTATAAAATAGAGGAAAAAAAAAAATACTTGGAGGGTTGTGTGAGGCTGTCTGGCACTTAGTACTTAGTTCAGTCTTAGTTGCTGCCATTATTTTATCGTTTATTTTTCCCTTGTAATACCAGGTCTTAAACCTCATGCATCTTGGGCAGCCGCTGCGCTATACCCTGGCCCTTTGGGGGGGGGGGGCTCAGCCTGCGCTGAGGGTGGGGCTGGCAAGACATGTGGTGCCAGGGATCAAACCGTGGTCTCTGTGCTTGCCTAAGCAGGCGCTTTAACCACTGAGCTATCCCTCCAGCCCCATGGCCCTTTGTTTTTAAAAAATTCTGAGACAGGGCCTCACTAATTGTTGAGGCAGAACTTGAACTTTCGTTCTTCCTGCCTCAGCCTCCTGCGTAGCTGGGGTTGCAGCTGTGCTTAACAGTACCTGGCCTTGTTAGTTCTGTTGCTGTGTACAAGCCTGGATCTGAGGGCCTGCTGAGCCCCCTTTCGTGTGGCTCCCACATGTGAACGCACAGCTTGACTCACGGCCTTGTAAGAATCCCAGCTGCCTCCGTCCCGAGTCCCTTCTGCCCTGTCCATTCCATCCCGGGCTGTGTTCACACTGTTCAGCAGAGCCGCCTCCTCTCAGACAGAATCAGAAGCAGGGCCTTCTAACTAAAATCGAGCAGGGTGAAATCACCCAGGTCCCCACTGAGTCCCCTGTCTGGTCAGTGCAGAGTGTGAATGAATATTGGACTTACCTGATAGAGAAAAAACAGCTCGGAAGCCCGGAGGCTGCTTCCTTCCCATTCATGCCATGAACCCCTGCCTCCCCTGAGGCACAGGGAGTTCTTTGGGAGTTCGAGGCCAGCCTGGGATGGAATGGTCTGGCTCCTCCACGTTTACTGTGCACGTTTACTGTGCATGAAAACAAGGAAGGGCCTGCCCACACGTACCGCTGTGCCTGGTCCTACGTCCTGTGCTTGGAAAGACAGGAGGAAGGCACTGCAGGTGAACGGAGCATGTTCCAGCCTTGACTTTCTGTTTTTCTCTCTTGCGCTGTGTGCAGATAGATTCTGGGTTTTATGGGGATTTTTTTGGTCTTTTTGAGACAGGGTCTCACTGCGGTTCAGGCCCTGAGCTCATTTTGTAGCCCAGGTGATCTCAAATTCTCAGGGATCCTCCTGTCTCAGCCTCCTGTGCCGGGATTATAAGCGTGGTCTACCATGCCCAGCTTGCAGTTATGTTTTGTTTTTGTGGAACCAGGGATTTAACTCAGGCCCTTATGCTTGCCAGGCAAGCACTTATTCTACTGAGCTATCTCCCTGGCTCCCCAGCTTGCAGTTAGATGTTGGAACATTTCTGTATTTATACTTTTTAATTTTTTCTTTTTATTAAATATTTTAATTTTTTTGCACTTCACATTTTATTTATTTTTTTCCATAATTTTATTGATAAACAAATAGCAATGAGACAGTTTCAAATCAAATTGGTAGGACAGTTTCAATAATTAACACATTACATACATTCCTCCCAGTGGTTAATTGCTGTACAAGATGCGGACATGATAGCCTATCTAAAAACACCATTAGAACAAATCCCTCTATTCTTTAAGAGAATGTAACTATATATCTATCCTAACCACCATGAATACACAGATACAAAAGGGTCATTCATCTGTATACCCTTTTTTTGTTAAGTTCCATTATTTGAATATTATAGGTGTGTTAACTCAGCAAAATAATCCAAAAGAGTTCACTAGTTCCTAATAGTATTGGGTCTTCCGCTTCACTGGCAATGTCAGAAATTGTTGACCTGAGTCCCCTACAGCTCAACATAACAGCATGGCTTTACTTCTTATATTTCGTTTTTATACTTTTCTGCTGGGTGGTTAAGACCAAGGTAAAGCAGGACCTATGCAACAAGAGTTGCAGCTTTTGGGTCTGATAAGGTCAGCGAAATCCCCTCAGGATTTATCTTAAGATATCCTGTACCTCAGATTGTAGAACCTTTGTCAGTGTCAGCCATGTGGATAAGTCACGGACATTGCTTGGCCAATGTGCTCTGTGTGAAAGCCTGAGAGAGTATTTTTAAATTTGTTCATTCATTCATTCATTTGGTACAGGATCTCACTATGCAGCTCGGACTCGTAGTGATCCTGCTGTCTCAGCGCCTCCAGCACTGGGATTACGGGCATTCACCACGACACCCGGATTCAGTGGTCCGCATGGCATGTGGTACCAGGGCCATGGTTCTTGCACTTGCCAGGCAGGTGATAGGACCGCCCATCTGTCTCCCTAGCCTCTTAATTTTGTTCTTATATTTTAATTCTTGTTGCACAGAAAGAACAAAGTTAACTCTGAACCATTCTTTTGAACCTGCTGGGGGTGGGGTGCCCCAAGCAGCCCAGGGCACTGCTTTTGCAGGGAGTGGAGGAAGAGCTCTGCCAAGCGTGTTGTGGCCTCGTGCTGGCCTCTGGTTCCCAAGGTGTTTTGTTTTGAACATCTGTGAGTTTTGTTTTTGTAGTAATGAGGATTAAGCCTAGGGTTTCATACATGCCAGGCAAAGGCTCTACTACTAAGCTACAGCTTCAGTTTCTCTGTCTGTCTTTAATTTCATTTACTTTATTTATTTTTGGGGGAGGGTACTGGGATTGAACTCAGAGCCTTGCGCTTGCCAAGCAGTCACTTATGCCACTGAGCTACCTCTTCTGCCCTGTCTTTCAAAATCAAATTTTTTTGGAGAGTAACTCACCAAGTTACCCAGGCTGGCCTCAAATTTGCAATCCTCTTGCCTCAGCCTTAGGAGTAATTGGAATTACAAGTGTGCACCGCTGTGTTTGACTTGTATAATGAGTTTAAGGCCAGCATGAACTACGTAGCAAAATCCTAACTCAAAAAAAAAAAAACAAAACAAAAAAAACCCTGATATTGCCTTCTGGGAACTGTTACTTGGGAAAACAGCTTTGAAATAATCAAATTTCAAGACAAATTGGGGGGTTTGGGGGATAGTCCAATGGTTTAAGCACCTGTCTAGCAAGCACAAGATCCTGAGTTCGATTTTGGGTACCAAAAAGAGAGAAAAATATTGGGGTGTGGCTGTGCCTATCAGTGATGTCACTAGTGGCAGGGTAAAGTGTAGAAAACAGGGTGGAGTCCTGCGAATCTCAGCAGATAAGGAACAGCAGAGAGGAATGTGTCTGCTGGAGCCCACAGAGACCAAGAGTCGTGGGGCACTCCTGCCTCCCGCCTGCCACCTACCCCTGCTGCCCACCGCTTCCAGTTCCATCCTCAGCATCCTGAGAGGCAGAGTATTTCGCTTGCCATGTTCATTTGTCTCCTTAAAACTCGGGCCTAGGAAAGCCCTGTGCAGAGTGGAACTTGCCCCTCCCACCTCCCATTCCTGACTTCACCCCGGGGGCGTGCAGCTGGCCTGTACCCAGGCTGAGCCAGGGCCCTGCTTGCCGTGACCTTTTCACACAGGTTCTGCCTCCACCTGATGAAGGGCTCACGGTCTCCCCAGGGAGTGTGTCCCATGAGGTGCAGCGCCACGCCAGTGCCTGGCACGCAGTGTGGAGTCAGCTGGCCAGGAGCCGCCTTTCTGGTGCCCTTTGTCATCTGCGCTGTCAGGTTTTACCTGCCCGTGCTGCCTGTGACTTGTGTGTGTCTAGATAGTGTTGAGGTAAAGCCCTGGGCAGAGAAGCCTGGCTAATCCCGCTCCCCACGCGCCTGCCCAGTGCCTTGCACAGGACTCACTTGATACACGATTGCACGTGAATGATTTCCTCTAAGGAGATTGCCTGAAAAAGTACCACAGAGGAAAGCTGGAAATTCTAGTACTTTCAAAGACTGATGAATAAGGTTTCTTGTTCCCAGCTCGCCCAGAGGTGTACGAGTTGGAATTTCTAGGGATTTTTTTTTATAGATTAGTTTTTCTAGCCCAAGTGTGGATGCTATCTTTGCCTTTCTGCCCCCACCGCCCCCCATGCTGTGTTGTTTAAAGCCGTCAGGCTATAGTACAAAGCTGTGGAGAACCTCTGAGTGAGAAGCTTGCCCACAGCTCAGGAGCCCCATGGCAGGAATGTGGCTCTTCAGCCTGTGGCTTTTCTTGGCCTTGCACAATTCTGTGCATGTGGCCGGCGGGCCAGGGCTAACCCTGGTGTGTGTGTAGCCTTGGGGCGCTGTCCCAGACAAGTTGGGCTTCCAGGTGTGACATCCATTTTATTGACAGGGCAGTGCCCAGGCTGACTTGGCCACACCTATGGAGGTGTGGTTGCCCCTGAGGGGGCTTAGCCTCATGCCTTTCCTGGGTTGACAGGAAGCACTGGCAGAGTTTGGCAGAACCTGTCTAGTCAGGAGGCAGAACAGTGACTTACCCACGTGGTTCCGTTGGGAAGAGTAAACAGCTACAGGCTGCAAATGCTGGTGGAAAACCCACGCCCACCCTCATCCCAACCCTGCTCAGCAGCACCTTGTTCTTGTCATCTGGACCAGCAGCCTGTATCCAGGCCCTAGTAGAGTGAGTGGCCTGAGCGTTCACTTAAATAGCATTCTGATGTTTCAGCCAGTCAAGCGAGGACTTTAAAGCTAGCTAAAGAACCAGAAGGAATGGGAGGAGGACAAATCCGGGAGTCGGGGCCGGGGAGACAGCTCAGTGGAATAAGGCGCAAGGGCCTGAGTTCAATCCCCAGTTCCGAAAAAAAACCCCAACAAATCCGGGAGTCAGGCGGACCAGTCTGCACCCAGGCTCTGCTGCTGTAGCCAGTGGTTTGAATGAGCCAGCGCCCTCCTGAGCCAGGGCCCTGGTGGCACTCCTGAGACTGTATGAGGTAAGCTCTGTGGAGCCCATGACACTTTGGCCAAAGAAGGCTGTCACTGGCCATGCCGTCTCCTCGGCCTCCTCTTTCTAGCTGTTCGTTGTGGGAGGGCCTGCCTCCCTTACTGCCTGGACTTGGTCTTTATTAGTCCCCTGTGCTTTTTCTCAAATTGCAACAGGCATCCCGGGCCCAAATCCTAGACAAAGCCACAGAATATATCCAGTACATGCGAAGGAAAAACCACACACACCAGCAAGATATCGATGACCTCAAGCGGCAGAATGCGCTCCTGGAGCAGCAAGGTGAGCAGCTGAGCTTGTGGGGCGGCTGGCCCTGCTGTCCTCCGCCAGCCTAGGCCTCACCTGGCCCTGCAGTCGGCCGCTCCTGGACGGAGCGAGAGCGGCAGCCCCCGCCAGGCCCCAGGCCTGCACAGCGGGCCTCGGCCGCCCGCCTGGGAGGAGGTAGGCCAGGGACTCGACGGACGCTCGCGTCATTTCTGCCTGCTCGCTCCCAAGAAGGCCTTGGGGCTCAGGTGCTCTGCCTGCAGTAGGGTCACACCTGGCATCAGGTGTCTAAAAAGAGCCTGAGGTCCTGGGAGTGGAGTTTCCCGTGTGAGTCCAGGCTCGGGTGCTCAGGACAGTGAGCCCTCCCCGCGGACAGTGCTCGTCCAATCGGGGCAGCCCACGGGCCAGGCCCCGCTGTTCTCCTGCGCTCACACCCGCCTTTTCCTACAACCACAGGGGAAAGCGAGAGCTGATCAAGTTCTTGGTTCCTGGGGAATTCACTTCTCTTCCTCCCTCATGGAAGATGCAAGTAAAAGGACATGCAAGTAACCTCTTGGGTTAGAACACCTCAAATATAATAAATAAGACCTGTCCAGGCTTGAGCTGAGCCGAACCATGGGCTGGGCAGCGGGTGGCGTCAGGGTTGGTGAACGGGCCGAGCAGCCTGCATGAAAGGGCTCTCCGTCAGAAGGCCCAGGAATTTTGTGAGTATTGGTGACTTGCTTCCAAGTGTCCAGCTTGCCATTTCAAGTGGATCGAACGTGAATGCTAAGCCAGAATTTTTCTTTGGCTAGTCCAGTCTTTTAGTGTCATCTTCTCCTGCTGAGTAGCCTTCAGACCCTGTGGGACCTGTTGTTGCCTGCCCATTTCTCCTCTGTTGTTGCACTGCTGAATTCCACAGGGAGCTCCTGCTCCGGACTCTACACTCACTGGGCTTCCATAGCAGGATGTTGACATCACAGCCTTCTCTTCAGGGTTGGGTGTCATGGCAGAGTGATGGGCCACGTCTGCTGGCCCCCAGGTCCAGCTGAGAGAGGAGGGGGGCATGGAGTGTGCAGCCGCCAAAAGGGAGTCACTCCTGAGCCTGGGGTGGCCGGCAAGTCCTTAGGAAGCACGGGCCGGCCCTGAGCCCAGTGGCTGTCCAGACGGTAGTAACGCACTCCCTTGGTTGCCTTGTAGTCCGTGCACTGGAGAAAGCGAGGTCAAGTGCTCAGCTGCAGACCAACTACCCCTCCTCGGACAGCAGCCTCTACACCAACTCCAAGGGCAGCGCCATCTCTGCCTTCGATGGGGGCTCAGACTCCAGCTCGGAGTCGGAGCCCGAAGAGCCCCAGAGCAGGAAGAAGCTCCGGATGGAGGCCAGCTAAGCTGCGTGGGGCAGGCCAGCAATAAGAACTGTCTCCATCGTCTCCTCTCAATTCATCATTAGAACCCTCAGAACCTTCTAAGAGACTTTATTTTTTTCTCTCTTTTTTTAATTTTTATTTTTATGTAGGCGCTCTTGGACAACAGCTCTTGTGCTCCTTCCCCTTTTCACTATTTTTTTTAACTGTGTTCCCTTCAGGGATTCCCTGTCCCCACCAGGAGTTTTTAAACCAAAACACCCAAACTTGGCAGCTTTTTCTGTGGAGGACAGACGGCTGGCCGGACCTCTGAGCACACGGTGTCCTGCCAAGCCACCAGCTCCTCCAGCCCGCCGGGCACATGCCTGGAGGACGCCTGCCCCATGGCCTCTCCTCCTGGCCCGCCTCTCCTTGACAGACTTTGTGAATCTGTGAACTGCTTTACTTCAAGAAGGAGATCAGTTTGAAGTAATCAGAATTATCCCCTCTCCTTTGTAAGGATTTTTTCTAAAAAGCTATTTACCGCTCCTGTTGAGAGACCAGATCCTTGAAGAAGTTGGGTGTAAAGGAAAGTGAGGACGGGTTTGCAGAGTCTGTGGCGTTTCACTCCTGCTGCTCTTGGCCACCGTTTCCGCCTGTGGAGCCAGCCTCACAGAGAGCCACTTGACTTGCACCGGGGCATGGTAGAGGGTGGGGCTGGGGGAAGGTTGGGTAGGGTTGGGGTTTTGTATTGAGGGCCAGTGATGATGTTTTGATATTTATTTCCTGCTACTGAAATTTGAATCTGAGTGAATTATCCCTATCTCTGATGATGTCAGAATGGCAAAGTGACAGATTCATAAAGTAATGATCACATCTCCCTTTCTCTTCATGTGTATTTCTAAGAAATAGAGCCAACTGATTTTGTAATGTAAATACCAAGAGCAATTTACCTGGTACTAAACCTGCGCCCCAGTGTGGCCCCTCCCCTGCCCACCCCCTGCTTCTGCCCTCCTGTCCCGGACCCTGTCTCCATTGTGTGATCCAGCCCTGGTTCTGGCTGCAGTCAGCAGATCCCAGTGAAGGGTGTTGTGTGTTTAGGCCTCATTTATTTGTCATTCTCCTACTCTGTTCCTGGCATTTGCTGATTTCTAGTGTATACTCTACTCTGTAGTCTCTGTCTGTGTTTGATTCCATTCCGTGGAAATAAAAAGTATGTTGTACATACTGCTGAAGAATTGTCTTGCAAGTTAAGGCTTCCCCCTTTACTATAAGACTATAAATAAAAACTTATTTTATCCTTTGTGGTGGTGGTGTCTTCTTGCCCCTGCAAAGGCCAGGATGGCTGCGGAAGAGAGGCAGGGCCTGTGTGACAGCCTGAGTGAGCAGCGGTGGCCCTTCCCCTTTGTTTTGAGGGCCCAGCTCAGCTCAAAAGAAGTGGGTAGATGGGCAGTGGAAGTTTGTTCACTAGAAAGAGACTTGGGGTTCCAGCAGGGTAGAGTTACATCTTAGGTACAGTTCTGCTAAACAGATGGCCCTCAGGGGAGTCAGCGTCCAGGTGGTGGTTTGAGTTCTCCTGGGATGGAGGGCACAGCCTGGAGCATTCCATTAGGGCGCAGAGCTGCCAGGGCGAGAAGTCAAGAAGGCCTCAGCAGCAGCACCTTAACTCAGCCTGTGGACCCAGCACTGTCCTCAGCCTTTGGCCTTCAGACAGATTTTACTGTTAGAAGACAGCTCAGTTTGAGTTTTCTTGCCTGGCTGACAGGAAACAGCTATTCGAGACCAAGGGAGGAAGTGATAGTAGCTCAGCTCTGATGCAGAATGGTGAGAGTGAGGGCCTCAATCTACTAGATGTCTGGTCTATAGTATCTCTGGCTAATGGAAGTTGACCAGTGGGTGACATTTCTACAAGAGACATCGAGCTCCAGAAACGCTGATTACATTAGGAAAGCAAGGATCTTATTAATTAAAGGCTGAGGAAAGATTGGAGTGGAAAAAGAAGTTGAGTGATAGAATAAGCCCTCCAGGTTGGCTCTCTGGCGCTTTGCCACCGGCTTCCGTGTACCTGGCCTTGAGTGTAAAACTCATCACACGTACTTCAGGCCAGGATGTGCATTGGAGCTGAGCCATGGTGAAGCCCTGTTGCCAAGGAGCTGGGCACCCAGTACAGGCAAGGCAGTTAAGCCAGCAGGGAGGGGCCAGGGTGTCCTGAGAAGTCCTTGTAAGATGTCGGGGCACAGGGCACTGAGTTCAGGTTTCACCAGAGTTCTCAAAAGCAGGAAAAAAAGGGCACAGTGGTTAGCTGGTTCTCCTGGGAAATGCTGAGCCCCCCGCTTGGGGTTGCATGAACCCTACAAGTGAAGGAAGCTGGTGGAGGCTGGACAGGAAAACCAGGCAGGAGACCTCCGGCCCCAGTGCTCAACTAAGGGTAGGGTCAGTCGCAGCCCTGCTGGCATCTGTCTAGGAAGCAGTGTAAGGCAGCCCCGGGACACAGGTCTGGCCAGGCTTAGACCTGTGAGTGATGTTAATCTCTAGTTTGTTTTTGTCATTGCTGTCTAGACAGCTAGGTAACCTGTTGATTTGCTTGGTCCCTGCTGCAAGTGGCTTCACTGAGGGGCCTGTTAAAATCCACCACTTTCTCTTGCAGTGGTGAGCTTGGTATCTTCGTACTGTTGCAGTTACCCAAATATTTAAAATGGCTCAAAAGTTGATATGCTCTGGGGCAGGGATTTTTAGCTCAGTGGCTCAAGTGCCTGCCTGGCAAGTGTAAGGTCCTAAGTTTGAGGTCCCCCCGCAAAAAAAAAGTTGATACGCTCTTCCCATCATAAGACACCTCTACAACTCACCGGCCTGCCGTGCCAGCCCCCGAACCAGCTGAGCCGGCAGTTGAGACTAGGCGTGATGGCGTGCACCTGTAATCCCGGCTCTTGGGAGGCTGTAAGCAGGCAGATCACTATGAGTCGGATTAGTAGTGAGACCCTGAACACCCTGTAGACCCTTCCCGAAAATTCAAAAAAAAAAAAAAAACACCTCTAGCTGGGCTCGCAGCTGTCATCTCACCTGGGACTGGCTTAAAAGTAAGGCTGACAGCACTGCTAGGAGGCAAGAGTCCTAGGGCTGAAGAAGCACAATTCTGTTTCTAACAATGCCTCATGTATACTATGCTGGGCTCTGGGCTGCCTGCCTGGGTTCCTGTTTCTCAGCAACTGTTCTCAGTCGCAGCGTCCTCACCTATAAAACAGGGGCAGTGATCGCCTCCCAAGGTGGCTCTGTGGACTCAGAATGCTGCTAACATGTCTGACCTCAGATCCAGTGGCACCCTGAGGTGTCAGCTGTCACCTACACGGAACGCCACGGGAACTGACTGCAAGGTAGAAAGCCCAGCTCGTAGACACCTGCCCCAGAGCACTGTGGGTTGGGCTCCTTGGGTTTTTTTGATTTTGTTTTGGGGGCTCAGTATTGAACCCAGGGCCTTGCATGGGCTGCACAAGTACTCTACCACTGAGCTACATCCCAGCCAGAGGGCTGGTGTCTTGGATCACCAGTTGTGTCCCAGTCCTGCCCTATCCCTACAATGCTCAGTCGCCAAAGAGTACAGCAAACAGACTCCTGTCGCCCCTGGGAGCAGCACCTCTGATCTTTGGACACATGAGAGGCCTGGAAGGCGGCTCAGAAGCATGATAGCAACACTGCTCAGTGTGGGGTCCTCGGGCCATTCCTGGGGTCTGAGCTCCAGTCTCTGATCAAAAGGATTCTGGTCCAACAGCCAGTCAGTCTAAACAGGCTCCCCCAGGTGGCCCTTGAGTTACTTGGTTTGGCTCTGGAAGTATAACCCAAGGAGAAAAGGAGGCCATTGGGGAAAGTGAGGACAGCGGAGCTCAGGCGCCCAAGCAGGTCTGGGGCTGTCTTCCTCACTGTCGCCCTAGGAACGAGGTGGAGGCGTTGCTGCCTGCCCAGCTCCCTGCTCCTGTCACACCTCCCTCAGCAGCCCCCAGCAATGCGCATCCTCCATCCAGGCAGGCTTGACTGATCTCTCAGCCTCCCAGGTTCTGCTCACAGCACCCCCCACAAGGTCCCAGTGAGGGGTTGGTGGCTTCAACCAGCATGAGTCAGAAAAGACTTTTGACAAATCCCTTAATCAAAACTGAAACCAAGCTGAGCACACATTAGGGGTGTCATCACTAGTTAAGCTAGCAGGGGTCCTTTCAGGTTTCCACAATGCATTTCTAAAAAATAGATGTGTTGTTTAAATAAATAAATAAGACAAAAATTAACTAGGAAGGAATAATGGCTCAAGCCCTCTTAAAATAGTGGAGGGGGGGAGTAAGTTCATTATGGTGACTGTTGTAAGGAGGTAGGGACAGATGATCCTGCCACAGCACGTGCACACACACACAAGCTGGGTGTGTTTAGAACATTGTAAGCAGGTGGCCATGGATGGTTCCCAAGCAGCCAAGCAGGTCCCTCCTGGTCCCTGAATGCCAGCTGTGACTGTGGAGGCCCCACCAGGGTCTCTGGCTCCAGTGCTTACAACAGGCACCAGGCTCTTGTACACGTGCGGCCTTCTCTGGTCAAAATCGTCCACCATGGTCTCTACTACTACTTCTTCCCAGTAAGGGCCAGAGGGAGGGAACAAAGCACGAAGGCTCTCATGTTCAGGAAGCTGTGCCAGGACGTTCACTCCGGTGCTGAGTAGGGAGGGTTAGCGTCCTGCCAAGGAAGCAGGTGGCAGTGGCGGGGGCGGTGGAAGAGCTGCACTTCTCGGGTGCCGGCTCTAGCAGGGACCTAGGAACACGGTGCTCCTGTGCTCTGGGCCGAGCACACCCTGGTCACTCCTCCCCAGCCCCAGGGAGTCCAGCCATCTGGGCGGCTCCAAGCACCGCACTTCACAGTCATTGTCTCCTATCTCCTGGTGCCATCAGCAGCTCAGGGGTGGCAGGGGCAGATCTGGGCCAAAGGCCAGCAGCCAGAAGCTTTAGGCCAGAAGGCCATGGTAAGGCCAGCCAGCTGCAAAAGGAATGTCACGTCCACCGTGAGCACCTGGTGGGAGGCTAGTGGGAGGCTCAAGGAGGAGATCAGGTTCCAACAGCTGCACCCCATTTCCTAGCCAGGAAATACAAGGCCAGGGCTCTGCTCCACACAGCGCAGCGTGAGCAGCTATGGGAAAGCCTTTCCGATGGCAGCTCCCACAGGTCCCCATTGCCTTGAGCCTGCTGCTGCCACCCTGGCCCTGCACTAGGCCCACATGTACTCTGCAGATGGTGGGTGTGCAAGGCTGGGGGCTCTTGACCCACAGTGCCTCTCACCCCACAGCACTCACTGCAGCAGCCTCTGCCCCACCCTATGCCACCCAGGGGGAAGGCTTTGACAGTTTACACAGCCTGACCTGGCTTTTAGGATGCTCAAGTAGAGACAAGACTCGTGCACAAGGCCCAGATATTCCCTGAAGGGCCCCAAATGTGAGTCTAGCTGGGCCCTTGAGTAGAGAGGTCAGCACTGTGGCAGGACGGGGGAGGCCAGCTCGGCACTCGGCCTGCTCCTGCGCTCTCCACAACCATGTAACATCTGAAGAAGAGGCTCCCAACCTTGGGCCTGATCTCCATCCCAACTCCATGCCTCCGGGCCCTTTAGGATTCACCACTCTGGAAATCTAGGCAAACACTGAAGGATGTTGCTAGCCTAGATTTCTGCCTACATCACAGGGCCTCAGTCGTCCTGGGCATCTCTAACCAAGGTGTCTCTTCGTCTTGCGTGACAGGCGCTTGTTGGCACAGCCAATGCCTCCAGACTTCCCCCTTTTGAGACTCTGACCCTCACTGGTCTGGTGACTACAGGCTGCAATACACCCTTGATCCCCTAGGCAGGGGCCATCATAATACAGAGGTGGCAGAAGTGTCACACCCAAGATAGCCAGCATGCCAGGGAGCAAGCTGATTGCAGAAAGCATGCAGTGCAGTATGGTGTGAGGTGAGAGGAAGCACCCGGCCCAGGCATACCCGTTTCCCAGTGTCCCTGGTTATCCACAGGCAGCACTGCTTGCAAAAGAGGGGTGATAAAGGTGTAGCGTCGCCACCATCATCATCGAAGGGAAGTGTGGGGATGGGAGAGGGACACAGAGCCAGCTGAAAGGGCCACCGATGCCCAAAGCAGGAACAACAAAGTAAACAACACAGTATTGGAACACAGCCCAAAGAAAGACAAATGTTCCCCAACCCAAACCATA